AAAGTGAATTTGGGGAGTGAACCAGTGGGCGGAAGATGTCTCGCTATCACCCTGCCTTTCAAATAAATAAATAAATCTCTTAAACAAAAGACACTAACAACAAAAAATTGTGAAATTAAAATCCCATGTATACATCTTAGCCTGAAGTGTTTTTATTTAAACTTTTTAATTAAAAGCGAGAAAAATATTATGTACCTACTGATTCAATAAATATATACAGAATACTTATAGCTAAACACTGCACACAGAATGATAAACTAGATCTTAAGAAACAGACCTGAATGTCAGAAAATTAAAAAAGCAATGACAAGTATTGTGACAGGACAAGAACAGAGGACTACGGAGCACAGCAATGTATCAGAGGGGCAAGACCTGCTGGAGGAAGAGACGGTCAATCCAAGCCCTAATGGCTAAGGAAGGGGTTAAACAAGTTGCAGAGAATATAGGGAGGGGTATGCAGATGCACAGAGCTTATTTCCATGTCTAATAGCAAGTAAGCCCGGATCTCTAGAGAGACCTGAAACCAATGGATAGGATGAAATCCTACAAGGAGGGAAGTATCTGGAAAAACAGCTCCCAGAACAACCAAGTAAAGGACAGGTGAGCCCTTAAAAGAAGCAGACTCTTCTAAACTGGTCAGAGACATCAGAGCACAACCAGATGTCAATGAACCAAAGGCAGATTAAACAGAATTCCCATGAAGGAATGAGATAAATTCAGAGGGGGTGGATTATAAAACCAGAGAAGACAAAGCCTTGTAAACTATATTACAGAGTTTGAACTTAATCCTTTTGACAACAGAAAGGTGTCAGGATCCCTTCTAGTTTTCTAGACAATCATGTTCACTGTGATATAGAGAGGTGACTAGATGGCCTATCAGACAAATGTGGTCTTATTTAGAAATAAGGTCTTTGTAAATGTAGTAAGTTAAGGGTTAGAATGGGCCCTAAGTCCAGTAACTGGTGCCCTTAGGCAACATGAAGACAGCTACAGTGGGCAGAGGCCAAGTGACAGTGGAGACAGAAACTGAATGGGAAAGACCAGCAGCAACCACCAGCAGCTAGCAGAGAGGCAGGGAAGGGTTTTTCCCCAGAGCCTTGGAGGGAATGTAGCCTTGCTGATGTCTTGATTTTGGACTTCTGACCTCCAGACTATGAGCGAATACATTCTGTGGTTTGAACCTACCCCTTCTATGGTGATTTGCTATAGCAGCCACTTATCTACAATGTCATTGACATTCTGAGATGCCACAAATCTGACAGATTTTTAATTAAAGAATAAACACATAAAATAAGATAATCTAAATCTTTGCAGTGAGATTGAACCAAGCAACAAGATTATAAAAATATTAAGTAAGGGCCGGCGCCATGGCTCAATAGGCTAATCCTCCGCCTAGCGGCACCAGCACACCAGGTTCTAGTCCTGGTCAGGGCGCCGAATTCTGTCCTGGTTGCTCCTCTTCCAGGCCAGCTCTCTGCTGTGGCCCGGGAATGCAGTGGAGGATGGCCCAAGTCCTTGGGCCCTGCACCCCATGGGAGACCAGGATAAGCACCTGGCTCCTGCCTTTGGATCAGCATGAAGCGCCGGCCGCAGCGCGACGGCCGCAGCGGCCATTGGAGGGTGAACCAACAGCAAAAGGAAGACCTTTCTCTCTGTCTCTCACTGTCCACTCTGTCAAAAAAAAAATATTAAGTAAGATTTAACAAAAACCCATTTAATGGTGCCCCTTCGGGACCAGAACTACCCTTAGGAAATTATTATGAGGCTCAGTTTCCGTCTTGTTTATGTTTGTTCATTTGTTAATTAATTTATTTATTTTCCAGTTCTGGAGAGGCAGAATCTCTCTCTCTCTCTCTCTCTCTCTCTCTCTCACACACACACACACACACACACACACACACTTTTAATCTGCTGGTTTACTAGGGCTGGGCCAAGCAGAAGGTAGGGGCACAGAGCCTGGAGCCTGGAACTCCACACGTTGTCACCTACATGAGCACCAGGGGCCCAAGCCATCTTCCGCTGCCTCCTGCGATGGAAAAGCAGAAAGCTGCTAGGTCTTGAACCAGCACTCCAATAAAGAATGTGGGTATCCCAAGCAGTGGCTTAACCCTCTTTGCCAGAAGGCCCACTTTGGAGGCACAGTATTAAGCCTTTAAAAGCACTTTCAGTCTAACTGCTATCCCTGTTGTGAGAGTGAGCCACTGTGCATCTGGTAGCACTGATTGGGGTTCTGCATTCACAAGCTGAGGCTGAAAACAAAGGAAGCAAACAGAATAGGCTTCAAACCAAGTGTCTGCTGGATACACTAATGATTCTTCATCTATTCCAACTCCTTCCCCACTCAACATTGAGCGAAGGAAGAAATAGAATGCCAAAAATGTTCAGCAAGTTGTTCAAAGTCTCACTCAGCTCAAATGTAAGGGGTAGAACAATGGCTGGATTCAATTTTCCTGGGTGATCAATCATCTCATAAAGACTGTTCCGGAATACATGGCATATAGAAAACATAACTAGGATCAACTAAAATCTGAATTCAACTCCCTTGAATGCTTTCTCACTGTGGGCTCCACCTTTCAACTTGCTCTGACCAACTGCACACTAACAAATGTCACCCAAGCAGAGACCCAAGGGTACCTATGCACTGAGGCTTGCTCCTGTGCCACTTCTAAACTCTGTGTTATGTAAACAAGCCCAAGGCACATGGCTGTTTTCTAGATGCTACATGTTCAGGGAGTTTTTATCTAGCTTCTCTGATCTCTGTGCTATAGGAGGCTAAGTCATTTGCTGTGAGGAAGGCAAAAAAGAAATGAGAAGCTGGAAGAGATTAGCAAAGGGCTAAGGGGCCAGCGCTGTGGCAGTCGGTTAAGCTTCTGCCTCTGGTGCCAGCATCCCATGTGGGCCTTGGGTTGAGTGTTGGCTGCTCCTCTTCCAATCCAGCTCTCTGCTATGGCCTGGGAAAGCAGCAGAAGATGGCCCAAGGACTTGGACCCCTGAACCTACGTGGAAGACCCAGAAGAAGCTCTTGGCTCCTGGCTTCAGATTGGTGCAGTTCCAGCCATTGAGGCCATTTGGGGAGTGAACCATCAGATGGAAGACCTCTCTCTCTCTCTGCCTGTCCTCTCTCTGTGTAACTCTTTCAAATAAATAAATCTTAAAAAAAATCTTACATAACTGTTTTAATTAAAAAAAAAAGTACTTATAAGATGATGTGTCTGAAGTGAGGGTATCAATGTTACAGTATAAGGAGAGGGTTAGTATGAACTGATTTATCATCATAAGAAAAATGGTTCACTGAAGAAAATCAAAGGTTTTATTTTGTGTGTTCCATTATTCATATGGTGAAATGCCAACTTCATAAGAAACTTTCAACCTAACCAATTTCACAAAGAATTAAGTGTGAAAGCAGTTACTTTATAAACTTACTATGAGATCACTACTAGGAGACAAAATTCCAAAGAGAGAAGAAACCTTCACTGGATGCCTGAGAGCATGCCTTGCCCTTGAGGCAGAATGTGCTGATGAATCTTTCCTGAGCTTTCAGGGATCAACCAAATTAGTTGGCTTCCCGATGAGGACAAAATAAAACTTCCTCCCTGGGAACAACATCATGAGATTAGTTCAGTTATGCATCTAACAATAGGACAGAGTAACAACAAATGCTTTGATACAGAGAAAAATTATCTTCACCTTAAATAAATCTAAAGAATAATAAAAAAGAACAATATTATTTTCTTAAAATGATTATACTCAGGAGTCCATCCATTCAAAATGAAAAGCTTTGTAGTAGAAAAAAGTTCACCATATATTTTTTAATTCTGACTTTTAAGTTATAGGCTCATAATATTGCATGTGCAACAAATTAAGTATGAGATTTTATGTCTTTGGTAAACCCACAGAGTAGATATTAGAAAATCATCCATCACAGTGCCTCAGAGGTTCAAGCTACTCTCACAAAATGTCTCTGAAAGAAATGAACCCCACTGACTACCACCCAACACTGCTAGCTGAGAGTCCTACGTGAAGAATCTCCTTTGTCTTAGTGTTAAGATCCTTACATTCTTTTTCCTTAACTGTTTTTGATGGATCCCTGGTCTGAATGATCTGTTCAAATCCCTAGATTTGTATTCATTCAAATCTCACTTCCAAGTCAAAACACAATTTTCCAATCAATATAAGCAATATCCACCATACCTGCACTGCTTTTAGGAAATTGTAAGTCTTATCACCTCCCAAATCTACAAGAGTCTCTCTAGGTGTCTTCCCCAGCCAGGCTTAGCCAGTGATGGATGAATCCCTCTCTGGTGGCAAATTCACAGTTCATTAGCTTATATGGAGGGCATTTAGTCTTAGAGTTCAGTCAGCAAAATGATTTGCATTATGTTCATTAAAAATGTCTCTGATTTTATTAAATGTAAATGATGTTTAAAAATTACTAATGGGAGGAAAGCCTTTTCTTTAATACACAAATGTGTATACATGCTTGGCATTTCATACTACTATGGAAATGCTAACCCATAAAGCCTGAAGCACATCACTACCCTCTACTGACTAGAAAATGAAGGGCAAAGGTAAGAACCAATTGATAGCTTTCTCTTCTATCTCCTTCAAGCTCTCTCAAGAATTGTTACCAGCCAGTGCCGCAGCTCACTAGGCTAATCCTCTGCCTTGCGGCACTGGCACACCAGGTTCTAGTCCTGGTCGGGGCACCGGATTCTGTCCCGGTTGCTCCTCTTCCAGGCCAGCTCTCTGCTGTGGCCCGGGAGTGCAGTGGAGGATGGCCCAAGTCCTTGGGCCCTGCACCCCATGGGAGACCAGGATAAGTACCTGGCTCCTGCCATCGGATCAGCGTGGTGTGCTGGCCGCAGCGCGCTGGCCGTGGCGGCCATTGGAGGGTGAACCAACGGCAAAAGGAAGACCTTTCTCTTTGTCTCTCTCTCTCTCTCACTGTCCACTCTGCCTGTCAAAAAAAAAAAAAAAAACATAAAAAAAAGAATTGTTACCTTAGTAATAGGTGACAGAGAAATCTTCCAAATAATCCATTTCTCTTTGCAGGCCAGACAAGCCCATCCACCTTCATCGACATGAACACTCAGTTGATCAACTAAAGAAAAACAAGAGGGGTTTAAAGTGTGAATAGGTCAAGCTGTTAAAATTTCTTTATATCAAAAAATCTTTTTTTAAAAAGATTTATTTACTAATTTGAAAGGCAGAATTATAGAGAGAGAGGAGGAGAGACAGAGAGATCTTCACCCACTGGTTCACTCCAGAAATGGCCACAAAGCCCAGGGCTGCGCTGGGCTGGAGCCTGGAACCAAGTGTTTCTTCCAAGTTTCCCATGTGGGTGGTAGGAGCCCAGGAACTTGGGCCACCTTCCGCTGCCTTCCCAGCTACATTGGCAGGGAGCTGGATTGAAAGTGGAGCATATGGGACATTGGTGCTAAGGGCCGCAACTTGACCCACTACACCATAGCACTGGCCCCATTCGCCAACATCTTTATTATCATGTGCTTCACCAAAAAAGGTAACTGTCATACACAGCAAATAGTATTCACAGCAAAAGCTAATTTGAATATTCAAAACTTAACAAAATACCAAAACAGATAACAAAGTTCTCTACTTCACTTTGATAGCCACTTTAGAAATACTTCCAAAGGCAAAAAATGTACCTTGGGCTTAGGTTTAACATTCTTTCATTTCTGACTCATAAATCACAGCCTCAGCCATCCTCCCTCTGGGCAGGAGGCCTGTGGCAGTGCCTGGGGAGTCTCAATCCCACCTCCTTACAGGGTCACCAAAAGCACCACCACACTTTCTGTTCAACTTCAATTCCCTTTGTGGGGAAGCAAGCATGAGTATCATGGAAAACTAAGTTATATTTGTTCTTCCTCTGGGAAATTGGTTCATTTTTTTCTCTATACATGGGGAAATTAGTATTTCAATTTCATATAATCAGATAACGTTCTGTGTCTCTTTAGACTATGATTTGTTAATTCTCAGGTTTTCCTTCTAGATTACTGATTCTTGATGTTTATCTCTAATAACATCATAAATATCATAAAAAGAAATTACTTTTCCCAGCATTTTAGGCTGCTACACCGTGGCATGCTAAGTTTGTTATAGCAATATAAGCAGTTTATATAATAAATGACTAACACATCTGAAAAAATTCTTTCATTTTTATTATAAACAGTTTATCTTGCCCTCTATAAGAAACGTAGCAATGTGCATAATTTTTAACCAAGGAACACAAATAAATTCTCACTCACATTAAACATTTCAAAGAAAAATCATGTTCCTCAAAAAGAACTTCCTTTTCAAAAAGGAGTTGCTTAAAGGTACAATAAACTACTTCACTATGAATATATACAAAATACATTCTCTAATAAGTGACAAAAACTAAATTAACCTATTGCCATGTCTGGTAGTAAACTTTCATAAACATGTTAACAGCCCTAGGAATTTAGTTAACTTGAGATTGCTCTCTGCTTAAAGGCAGAATGGTGGAGGACAGGGGCTACAAAACAGAAGAAAACCCTGGACTTACTCTTGGATTTTTTTTTTTTCCTCCCTGATTTTTCTGATTTTTGGAAAGAGATGCACACAGCATCATGTAGAATCTTGAAATCTTCCTGTTTCTATCTCCACACAAGTAGCTCATGGACTCAGCCACAGACTGTTTCATATTCAGCTGGCGACAGATGAAGGACAGATAATTTTTAATTTTCAGCTTTCTGGACCAAACAGCTACCTTCAGCAGGCTTTTCTTTTTTTTCTTTTTTTATTTTTTTTAGTTTTAATGGTTCTATTTAAACACAAATGAAATGTGCACAGAAGCTATCCATTTTCTTCACTGTTCAGCCTGGCATTGGGATTGGTGACTCTGATGCCAGCTGGGCTGCTCTCTCCATGATGCCCTCTCCATGATGGTTCATGGAGGAAACACTGAGCAATCTCAGCATGGCAAGATTTGTTGTGTAATAGCAACACCTCCAGCTCGTTGACATTGAGGGCTAGGAACTTCCAGATGCCACCAGGAAGCTTTGTTTTCCTATTGTTCCCAAAACCAATGTTGGGGTCAAGATCTGGCCATTGAATCTTCTCCATACCCCATTGTCAGTACTCCTTGATTTCTGCCACTTATCCTTAAACTCAACATCTTAGTCTGACTGGTGCAGGATGAGCTTGTTGGTCCTCTTTTTGTCAGTCTTAGGCTTCACAAGGTGTCTGAGGGCAGCCATGATACTTTCCTGAGGAGTAGTATATAGTCCAAGTATGACGAGGAATGTGTGACTCCTCTCTATAAAGTGCTGGGTCAAACTGCAAGCAATATTATCTTAGAATATCCTTGAGTTCCATGATTTCAACTTGGTTATCACAATGGTAACAACAGTTGAAGCATTGATGATCATTACCATGTTCTGGTCATGATACAAAACTGCCAGCTTAGGTGTAGACACCAATGTGCCTAATTTGGCATGACACAATGTCTCTGCCTGTCTTGCCCAAAGGAGTCACCAACTCATTGTGGTGACACAACAGTCTACATAGTCTCTTAGAAACAAGTCATATGCATCGGCAATCTGCCACCAATTCTAAGCACCAATGTGCCTAATTTGGCATGACACAATGTCTCTGCCTGTCTTGCCCAAAGGAATCTCCAACTTGTGGTGGTGACACAAGAGCAGTCAACATAGTCTCTTAAGCCAGTCATATGCATCTGGCAATCTGCCACCAATTCTAAGCACCAATGTGCCTAATTTGGCATGACACAATGTCTCTGCCTATCTTGTCCAAAGGAGTCTTCATTTGGTGGTGACACAAAAATGGTTGACATAGTCTCATAAGCAAGCCATATTCATCTGGCAATCTGCCACCAATTCCAAGCACCAATGTGCCTAATTTGGCCTTTGTGCAGCACACAAGAAATTAGGAGGTTTTCCAAGCAGTGAATGTGGTCAGCAGTATTCCTCCTGTTGTAAAGGCATCCTGAAATATGCTCGTACTGTACAGGTGAGTGAGTGACAGGATGAATTAAGGATGTAGTGAGGAAGGACACAAACATTTGAAAGCTGGGGCCAGTTGCTGTCTTTGAGGCAGTTGTACTGGTGCTTGTGATAAAATGAGAGGGAATGTGAATGAGCAGAGGGGTAAGAGTAGGTGTTTGGCAGTGGCAGGCCAGAATATGTGCCTGTGCCTATAGGGTTGAAAACAGACATTGAAACAGTACCCATGTGCTCACTTGGACAGTGGGTAACTGTTTCTTCAAAAGAAAAGTGGGGAATAGCTTGCACCAGATGCAGCAGGACCCAAAACATAATGGTTGCTCTGCATAATGGCAATGTTCTGCAGAGTGTGTTTCCGATGGAGTGCATCCTGGAGCACTCAGTCACAAATGGATTGGGTGGAGCATTTCCAGGAGATGCAAGCACAGACTTGGAGTCAGTGTGTACCCAGCTGTTGAAACCCCAGTCCTTTCTCTCTCTCTGGAGAGTTCATACATTTGGTGCAACACAGATATTGGCAAGCTGCAGGACATATGTAAGACCAAGCATTCAGACAGAACTAAGATAGTGGTGGTCAAGTTTGTTCAAAGGAAAGTGTGTTATTGATGGTCAAGGTTGTATAAGAAAGATATTGGTGGTCAAATTGTATAAAGGAAAGTGTGATATTGGTTTCAAGGTTGTTTAAGTAAGATGTTGGTGGTCAAGATTGTATAAAGTAAAGTGCGATATTGGTGGTCAAGCTTGTTTAAGTAAGATATTGGTTGTCAAGGTTGTTTAAAGCAAAGTGTGATATGTAGGATCGAGATGTGCAGATGAGAGCAGGCTTCCAGTGAGGTACTCACGTTGCTTACTTTTTTTTGTTTT